CTCACCGCCGAAACCTTCCCTCTCTATCACGCTGCACGAACCAACAGCTCTCTCCAGAGTTTTTCCTGAGGAGCTGGGACAGACCACCAACAAAGCTAAGGCCTGAAAGAGATGTTAGGTCCCTAGGGTGGCCGGTGGGGAAGAGGCCTCACATCTTCTTTTCTGCAGCTGAACCGACCAGCCTCCTTGGGCGAGAAGGTGGCGCTGGCTTCTCTGCCCCAGCAGGGCCAGTCGCTGTCCCAGGGCACCCAGTGCCTGGCCATGGGCTGGGGCCGCCTGGGCACCCGCGCGCCCACGCCACGCGTGCTGCAGGAGCTGAACGTCACGGTGGTCACCTTCCTGTGCCGGGAACACAACGTGTGCACGCTGGTGCCACGGCGGGCAGCTGGCATTTGCTTCGTGAGTGCTGGGCTGGGTCGTGGGAGGCGCGGCCTGTGATGGGGACGGGGCCCCTGGTGGAGTTCGTGGTTTGGTACCGGGACGGGGGACCTCTGGCGGGGGGTCGGGATTCCGGGGAGGCGGATCCCAGGGAACTGTAGGTCCCTGGGGATGGAGGTGCCTGGGCTAGCCGGAAGGCTTTGTTCCCAGGCCGGTGAGCTGAAGGGCAGGGTCTTGCGGAGTCCGGGTCTGGAGGATAGATGGGTATTAGGAGAAAGCTGGGGGTCTGAATGTGGCCCCACTGCCTGCCTGTTCCATTCTGACCCTTGGTCTCTACCCCTCGCAAGCACAAATCAGCGGCCCGTGTCGGGACCATGTTGGGCCGCGTCTCCTCTCTTCTGGACCCACTCAGACCGAATCCAACAGGAAGCTACTAAAAGCCTCCTGGTCATCCCCCGGGACTCTTCCCAAGTGGCCTCATCCCGGCTGACTTCGGTCAGCTTGGGGACTGATCTCTCTTCTGCCTCAGGGAGACTCGGGCGGCCCGTTGATCTGTGATGGCTTTCTCCACGGAGTCGACTCCTTCGTGATTCGGGAATGCGCTTCGCTCCAGTTCCCCGATTTCTTCGCCCGGGTGTCCATGTACGTGGATTGGATCCACATGGTGCTCCGGGGCGCTGAGCCTTGAGCTACCTTCTGCCCTCCAGACTGTCTGGAGCAGGGTGGTGCTTCCAGGCTTTTCCTCCAGCGGAGTGGAGCCAGCTCTGTCCCCCACTCCGTGTGACCTCAATAAATCTGAGAAGTATTTAAAAGCTGTCTTCTGTCTGTCTTACTTCATGTGGATCTGGAATGTGGCCAGAGCCTCAGTGTCGGAGGCCGGGGATTTACCATGCAGGAAAGAAAGGGGTGGAGAAGAAGCCAGGCTCACTCCCAACCTGCAGCGGTTGGATTCAGCGCCCCATTTGGCTTCTCACCTCTGTGTCTCAATTCCCCTAACTAGAACCGGGATTCATCCCAGACGTGGATGAGGAGGTGGGGCTGGTGGGGTTTGGTGAAGTGTCCCCCAGCTCCAGACTTCTTGAAGACCTGGCTCTTTTCACACCACAGTGGGTAGGGGCTGGGCTTCTCGGGGCCTCACGGTTGTGATCCTGTCAAAGCAGATAGGAGACCTTCCTGGTGGAGGAGGCAAGGTGGACAGCAGTGGGAAAGCCAGGAGCAGGGGGCGGGACCCAAAGGACGGGCACAGCGACAAGGGGCAGACGTGGAAGCCTCAGGTTTTCCCCAGCGGCAGAGAAATGAGCTGGGGCCAGCACAGGGATGAGGGAAAGAGTCCCAAGCCAAGGGTGAGAGAGGGGCGGTCTCCTCGCAGAGTCTTAGGAAGGGGGAGCTGGCTGCTCTCTGACTTTTCTTGGCGCCGCCACTTGGTGGCGCTCTTCAGGGTCCACTGACTTCTTCCTTCTCTAGCATTGCTTTGGTTTTGGGAGACAGTCTCATGAAAGCCAGGCTAGCCTCTAACTCCCTACAAAGCCCAAGATGACCTCGAATACCTGATCCTCCTGCTTCCACCTCCCAAGTGCTGGGATGACAGGTGTGAGCAGCCACTTCAAGGCTTGGTGCGCTCCAGGAGGGCAACTGCCCACTGAACCCCAGCCCCAGCCTCTTTCCAATCTCCCAACTCCTGGAGATGGGTCCCCAGTGTGTCACCGCTGTGTGCAGACTGTTTCTTATGGAGACACTGGGTATCTGGGGACACTAAATGGAGTCAGAGAAGAACCTGAGCCACAGAGGGGTTCCCTCAGGGCCTGGAATTCCACAGCAGAGGGCTGGGAATATGAACCCGAACGCAAACCTAACCTGTGCAGCTTAGATGAGCACAGCATACAGTCAGCGTCGCTGTGGGGAAACCTGGTCTCCTGATCTTGTTTGCCCTGCGCTCCCTGCCAGGTGGCAAGGGATGGTGTACACAGCAGGTACTCACTGTGTGGAAGAAAAGGAGCTAGTGTGTATCTGGGTGAAAGAGAGCAACTGTCCCCACTGGGGTCCCAGGCACCTTGGCCACCTGCCATGTTCGTTGGGCTCCACCCCACCCATGCCCTATCCTAGAGTTGGGACGTTGGTTTTGCAACAGCCTTGGCAGCAACTCCTGGAAGAGATGGGAGGGGAGCAGGCCACAGAGTGGGGGGAGGGCTGGGCCCCCCCCCGAGTCCTGTCTCCTTTGTGGGAGGGGAGTGCTCCTCTGTGTGGTTCCAAAGGAAACCTACAGTCCAGCCACTGTCAAGAATAGCAGTTCCTTCTCACGGGTGCCCAGGCACAGGTGGTCAGATGAGATTGAGCTCTCCACTGTGAGGAGCGACCCACAGTTTAGGGGCTGAGCTGCTACAGTGTGAACCAGGTTAAAATGACCTGTTGTGCATGGTGGACACACACCTTTAGTCCCAGTGCTGGAGAAACAGAGGCAGGCAGATCTCTGTGAGTGAGAGGCCAGCCTGGGCTACATAGTGAGACCTTTTCTCAAGCGCACACACAGACACACTCACCTGTCACTGGATGGGTAGAGCTGCCATGTCCCTCAATTTTTCTGATTTAAGTAAGGATCCAGCCAGCCACTCTGTCACCCCAGGAAAAAGTCAGGCTGGCACTGGACCCTTTGAGGACCCAGCGCACCACGCGTTGCTGTTATTATGCCTAAGGTAAACTGAGGCAAAGGAATTGGCTTCAGATACTAGTAGCTGGGTACAGGGCGCCAAGCTGAGCCTGGAGGGCTCGCCTGCCATCCCAGCACTCAGGAGGTGGCAGCCGGGAAACTAAGAGTTTGAGGCCATCCTGGGCTACCTGAGATCCTCATTTTATTTATTTATTTATTTGTTTGTTTATTGGGACACAGTTTCTCTTTGTAGCCCTAGCTGTTGTGGATCTTGCTGTAGCCCAGGCTGACCTTGAACTCACAGAAATCCACCTGCCGGTGGCTTCCCAAGTTCTGGGATCAAGGCGTGAGCCACCACTGCCCCAGCACGAGGGCCTAGTTTTTACAAAGGAGGAGGGAAAAGGACGCTTGCTGAGCATTTGTTGCTATTCAGTAGCATGGATGAAGCTGAAGTGGGGACCCTGGGGGGCACCCACCTTTCCATACCACCCCCATCTTCCTGTCCCCAGGGAGGAAGTGGGGCTGTGGCCAGCATGGAGCAATTCAACGGCCTCTGGCTGGGCTATAAGTCAGGCTGTTAGGTAGGGGCATGGGAAGCCAGGAGAGCACAGCCTCACCATGACCCTCAGCCGACCCTCCAGCCGCACTCTGGCTCCCGTGCTGCTGTCCTTGCTGCTGGGTGGTGAGCGCACAGCCACCCCACTGACCGCTTGTCCGGCTCCACTGTCTTTCCCCGGGTCCCCCAGGACTTTAGAAAGACATGGAGGTTTCTGGGGGGGCAGGGCACTATCAGGAAATGGTTTTTGTTTTTGTTTTCGTTTGTTTCCCTGTGTAGCTTTGGAGCCTGTCCTGGAACTCCCTCTGTAGACCAGGCTGGCCTCGAACTCAAGAGATTCACCTGCCTCTGCCTCCTGAGCGCTGGCATTAAAAGTGTGTGCCACCATCGGCAGGCAGAAACTGGGGTTCTAAGCCTGGGGGCGGTGCTTGGATCTCCAGTCCAGGAGCTCCTGGGCAGTTCCTTTATCCTCTCTGCCTCAGTTTCCTTCACCAACCTTCTGAATTCTCATTAAGGGTTCAAACAACTTGGTGGCTGAGGCTCACTCTTCCTCCCTGTGTCCCTAGGTCCGGTGTTGGCCTCAGAGATTGTGGGTGGCCGGCCAGCCCAGGCCCACGCTTGGCCCTTCATGGCATCCCTGCAACTACGCAGAGGTCACTTCTGTGGTGCTACACTCATCGCCAGAAACTTTGTCATGTCAGCAGCCCACTGTGTGAACGGCCTGTGAGTCCCGTCTCCATCACTCCCAAACCTCAGCATCCACATGGGCCAGAGTGGGGCGGTCAGGTGGGGACTCCCATGCACGCTCCTCCCCCCTTTCCCCTCTTGACTGTCCATAGAAACTTCCGGTCGGTGCAGGTAGTGCTGGGGGCCCACAACCTCCGGCGACGGGAACCCACTCGACAGATCTTCTCTGTGCAGCGGGTCTTCGAGAATGGCTTCGACCCCTCTCGTCTGGTGAATGACATTGTAATCATCCAGGTGAGCTTGGGAGTCCGGGAGGATGAGCCTCAGGTGCAAAGGCTTGAGAAAAGCGCAGTGCAGAAGGGTCTGGGTTGGGGAGACGGACAGACACACCCCGGCAACTGCAGCTACCACCCTCTGACCCTGTTCCAGCTCAGTACAGTGGAGAAAAACCGTTCTGTGGGCCAGATGATGAGGGTGCAGTATTCAATCAACAAACGCCTGTATTTTTTTGTGCCTCTCCACTCGCTGACCCTGCGGTTCTGGGGAACCTGGGGGAATAGTCATTTCTTAACTCCAGTTCGTCATGGGGGCAGGGCACTAAGGAAAGTGGGGACACACCATGTCCAATGTGGCCTGTGACTCCTTAGTGGTTTCTAAGTCTCTCTCCTCACCACAGCTCAATGGCTCAGCCACCATTAACACCAACGTGCAGGTGGCCCAGCTGCCTGCCCAGGGCCGTGGCGTGGATAATGGCACTCCATGCCTGGCCATGGGCTGGGGCAGGCTGGGCACAAACCGACCTTTACCCAGCGTGCTCCAAGAGCTCAATGTGACGGTGGTGACGAACCTCTGCCGCCGCGGTCTGAATGTATGCACGATCGTGCCGCGGCGGCGAGCGGGCATCTGCTTCGTAAGTACCCAGGAAGGGTGCCAGTGTGCAGTGTGGGGAACGGGGCCAGAGGTGCCAGTGCGG